CGGACAGTCCGGTTTATGATTATCTGAATACAGGCAGCATAAGTCTGACACAGACTGTATCAATTTACCCGGATTTTCTGTCGCCTCTCCTGTATCCTTCTAATGCTCTATAAACACGGATAATTTAGATCAGAACGGTACCACCTGGAGAGCATCAGCATCTTTTGATTGTGGGCTCACATTATCACATCAAAGGCCGTGCAACTACAGTGCTTAGACGATATGTCGACCCCCTCAAATCTAACGTTTATTAAATGGCCAGATTCGATTGGCTCTAAATATTCGCCCATTTTCAGCGCACAGACAAGTTGCTTAGGCAGGACTTTCGAATGTAATGCTGCTTCCTCAATTCTGAAAGGTGTCTATCTGTCCCAATACTCGTCTGCGCCACGGTATTCGGTTCACCGCCGAAATGACCAAAGGCTTCTCAAGTGAGGAGTTTCTGTCTGATGTTGCCCCGCTGCAAGTCGAGCATTTGGCCGTGGATAACTAACCTAGGAACGGAGGAACTTTTAGGACTTAAGAATTTGACCTTTCTGAAGGTCATATTTTGCTTAAAAGTCATTGATTGCTGTTCTTGCTTCCAACCTAATTTACCCTTGAATAACTAAATTTAAATGTCGGACACCAACGAAAAAGCGGGCTCCAGGAAGCGGTTGAGAACGGAAAGAGGGTGTTACTGGAACAAAAGGTCAGCGTAAGGTTTCGGATTCTCATCCTCGGAGAAGAAAATATAAAATAATGGACGTACAGAGGTTGATGTATTTGTAGGATACAGATGCTATGCCACCGCATACCTATCAACTGAAGTAACACTTATTTTAGTTTCCGATGGTCGTATTTAGTGTGATGGTTACTTGATATTCCGCATCCGAGTAGTTCATTATCGCACGTGACATGACAATTTGCCTCACCCATACTGTCGCCAGAGACTCTTCGTCCGCCCGGTCACTGTGGGATTTATTTTCGCTCAGGCTAAATCCAAGGGCGGAATAATTAGGGAGATTAGTTTCATCTGTTGATAGGCCACGACCCAACCAGCTCGCAGTCCACGCGTTTGTCACTTATTTCAACAAATTCTGCCCTCTCAGACTTGAATGTGTAGGCGGGTACTGTTAAGTGAGCTACAACCCGAGACCTGGCGTCACGCCTCCTAGATTCCGCTGTGGCTGCATGTTCGACAATCCGCGTCCTACATAATCTCCCAGATTGT